AGCGCCCGCAAGTTTATCACTCTAGATCGTGGTATTCCAGCGATTAAGAATTCCGGATCACAACATCCCACCCATTTGAGCGATGTTTGCGGAGTCATGGACGGTTTGACGCAACTGCTTCGAGCGCATCATGACGCGTCAGAACCTTCTCCGCCGCTGGTCGGCAACTTGGTGCAATTGCTGGAAGGCCTGCGATCTGCCATCAAATGAGCAAGTCAGTATGTATGATGGTAATTTAAACTCGCGCATGTACGACTATATGTAGGATTTCATGAAGCGCCGGCGCATTGCTATACTTCATCAACATTTGGTAATAATCATATCTCATCTATGGGATGTTCGGTTTAATTCAAGCGCCCGCGAGCCAGCCCACGCGGATGGATGACTCCCGCTTCAAGCCTGTGAATAGCGATCAAGACCATCAATCCTTGGTGCCGACCTCGAGCCCAGCGCTCTGGATGGTTCTTACGCCCGTAAATACCCAATGCTTGCTCATCACGCCAAGGCAATACTGTCACAGTACACATGCAGCAAAGCCGCGCACGTTCCCCACCCGTTCTCCACATGCCAATGCATCTCGCTGCATCCTTCCACCGCACAGGCGGAAAAGGTCAGATCCAAGGATTCCAAACTCGATCTCGCGCCGTCATATTAGCTTCTCCCTTGCACAATCCGCTGCAACTAGCTTTCTCCAGATGCAAACCCCGCAAATCTTGGCCGTATCCAGATGGTCTTGGTCGCCTCCACATCCCGACTTACCCCAGACTGGGGATGCGATGGAGTCCAAGCGTCCAATGAGAGTGTTGTGAGGCGCTATGAAGCCTGTCTGATTTGTCGACGGCGAGATGCCAGGCGTAACACACCGACGTGCCTTGCAAAGGCGTGTTGTTCAACGGTTCGACCGTGCGGTCTATTTAGATTGGAGTACCATGGCCGCAAACACCACTGTTGTTGGATATCGTTGGCATCGCAGAATCATCTCCGCCGTTTTCTTGCTCGGCTTGAATCATCAGAACGTTACTAATTCATCGCGATGACTTCTCTAAAGCAGGCGTTCAGCATCTCGAAAGAGGAGGTGAAGAATGCCCGACCGCCAGGAACCGCAACACTCGTTGGTAAGATATCACCAACTCCCGTCAACGTCTTTCTTGCTAATGAAGCTACCATCAGAACATCTCGAATGGACAGCGTCGCAAACAAATCACGATGAAATCCGCCTCGTGCCTCAGCCATCCGCCGACCCAGCGGATCCTCTCAACCTGCCCATGTGGCGCAAGCTCGCAGTTCTGGCCGTCATGTCAATACATCCATTCGTGGTAAACTTCACCAGTGCCTCCATCTCGAGTGCATTGCCCATCTACGCGTCCACGGGCGTGTTTGGCTTCCCACCAAAGACGTTCTCGCAGTTGACGTACTTCATCGCGTGCAACATTCTCATGCTGGGCGCGTCGAACTTGTGGTGGGTGCCGCTGGCGAACACCTTTGGTCGCCGCCCGGTCGTTCTGGGCAGCTTGTTGCTCTTGATTTTCTCGAGTATGTGGGCTGGTCTTGCGACTAGCTTCAATAGTCTGGTGGCTGCGAGGATCTTCATGGGTATTGGGGGCGGACCGGCTGATGCTGTGAGCCCGGATGTTGTTGGTGAGATATTCTTTGTCCATCAGCGTGGACGTGCTTTGGTAAGTCTTTTTTTCCACATCTTTCGAGTATACTGGCACTAACAGAACGCCCACAGGCCATATACACGGTCATGTTGTCCTTCGGCTCCCTCGTAGGCGCCGTCGCGGGTGGCTATATCGTCGCAGACATGGGCCTCTCTTGGCTCCATTGGATGAACGTGCTCCTCTCTGCTATCACTTTCGTCCTTTGCCTCTTCTTCCAAGCCGAAACTCTCTACGACCGCAAATCAACCACCGTCACCTTCTCCGACGATCCCGATAAGCAAACCGTTGAGACCAAAGAGAGAGTCGTCGTCGCAGATGCCGCTACCCCATCTTCTTACCCATCCTACTCTTACGCTAAGTCTCTTCGACTCTGGTCCTACCGCCCTGGTCTCGTGCAAAACTTCCTCGCACCATACAAGACTCTCAGATTACCGGGTGTGTGGCTAGTATCAGGGTGGTACGCCGGACTCGTCGGCCTCATCGTCACCATGTCGAGTGTGGGACCTCAACTCGTTGCCGCGCCGCCTTATCTATGGGGAAAGAACGTCGGACTCATCAACATCGGCGGTATCTTTGGTGCTCTTCTCGGATGCGTAAGTACCTACAACCCTACCATCAGGGTCAGCGGTTACTAATACGTTACCTCTAGGTCTACACCTATCTCATCGCCGACTTCGCAACCAAGCGCCTCGCAAAGAAAGACCTTCACGGCTTCTCGGAGCCTGAGTCTCGTCTCGTCACCGCACTGCCCGCTCTCGCTCTCGCCACAATCGGCGCTCTGATCTTCGGCTTCGTAGCGCAGAACCCCTCGCCTACAGGCTGGGTTGGTCTGCAATTCGGATTCGGACTTGTCGCTCTCGGGCTCATGCAAGCGCCCTCCGTTGGCTTCAACTACCTGATTGAATCCTACGGGGTGCTCGCTGGCGACTGCTTTGTTGCTGTCACATGCGTGCGGGCTATTATCAGTTTCGCATGGACGTTCTTCGTGGGCGAGTGGGTTACGCATCAGGGTGCTGCGGAGCCGTTTGGTATCTTTGGTATGCTGATGGGTGTGTTTGGGTTGTTGACAATTCCCATGTTAATCTGGGGGAAGCGGTTGAGGATCTGGACTGCTAAGTGGGTTCCTGAGGGCGCGGGTTTGTAGTGAGAGATGCGGACCGACCTGGGGTAATTATTGCTGAGTAGCTCCGTTAGTGCTCACTGTATTCCGTAGTGTGCAATCTCGGATTAATGTCTTCATTGAGCGTGTCTTCTCTGATTTTCCTCGTGGTGTACAAGTGAACCGTAATTCTAGCTCTTTCTCCTAAGTCTGCCGCCCTTGTTCTTGATGACCAGCGAGCATCGCGCTGCCAACTTCATAATTAGCGCATCACGACAATCACGCAACACGATGACCTAGCTCTCTGTAAGAATGCGCAATACCATTCAATCTATATTACACCCCACCCTCAAACAAAAGCCCACCTCCTCAAGCCCGCCCGCACACCAAAGAAAAGTGCCGAGCCAATACATGTCAGAATAGGAATACCGTACACACCCAACCCGATAAAGATACCCTGCTCAAAGTAACCAATTGCGATTGACTCAGCGCGCTTCTTCTCTCTAATCTCCTGCGTCGCTTTGCTAAGAAGCTCTGCCGCCGCCTTCTTCGAGTCCTTACCCGAAAGAACCTTTAACAATGTCGCTTGCGAAGCAGGTGCTGCGATGTACGCAGGCGAGATACGAGTGAAGTGCTGGGCTGTGTATCGCTTCTCCACATCGACGGGCTGGAAAGACGGAGCAGCCGGGCCGAGAAGCAGACGGAAGGGAATGTTGTTCGTGAATGACGCGTCGGCGTTGACGAACTGTGAGAGGTACTTGCCCGTAGACGGGGTGCCAAAGTGGTATGCAGCCAGCAGACTCTGTTGGGGGTCTAGGTCGTCCTCGACGAGGCTGATGGCATGTTCCAAAGATGTGATTGCTGAGACGCAGAAGACGGGTTGTGGGGACTTGGATGGTAGGGAGGAGAGGTTGGAGAGCTCGACGACGGCGCCGTTGTCGCCTTGTGTTATGGTGTTCAGCTTCCATGACTTGCTGTCCGTGAGTCCTTGGAAGGTTTCTGCTACGCGTGAAGACTTCTTGTGCTCTCTTGTGTTTGTTGAGCCGTTTGACACGCCACTGGATCCAGCCAGGAAGGGGAGGGAGTGTCGAAGAACGTGCTCTAGGAACTCTTTCTTGATAAACTCGTTAACGAGGACGACGTCGGGTGCATATGGTGATGTTCCTCCGAATGCGAAGCGTGCTGTTACTAGTTGCTCGGCTGCTGATGCGAGATCTGCTGTGCGGTCCACAACTGCGACGATCTTGTTTCGTGGTGATACGAGTTGTGTGTATGTTGGCGAGCTGACTTGTGTCTCTTGGAATACCTGTAGACAGGCTGATAGTGAGTCTGAAGGAGGGTCGGAGGCGATGACAGCAAAGGTATCTGATTCGAGGGCTTCGGTAAGCAATTTTCGGAGCAGAGAAGGAAGTGCGCGAAGGTTGTTTTCGAGCTGCAATATCGTTAGATGACGTTCCGGATTGAAGTCTGCAGCAAACTGACCTTCAGTGCTATGCAGCTGCCGGTTGCGAGACCAGCGCTCAAAGGTGCAATGACCGAGAAGAATGGCGTATGACTTCTTTGAGGCTCGATATACGCAACACCCCAAGGTTCTCTCTTATCACTAGCATCTTTGCCATTGGTGATTCTGTACTCGGCTTCCAGCTCTTTGGCCGCATCAATCGAGCCATAATGCTCCTTGACCACATCTAGGGCAAGCGCAACCTCGGTGATCGCCTCTTCATCAGACACGTGCGTATCTTGCTTCAGAGCATCTGCGATTGCATTGCTGTTGTTGCGCAACGCATCGTGCAGCGATTTGAGTTGTTTGAGACGGAAAAGAGCGTTGTGGCAGCGGGCAGTAAGCGCAGTCGCCTGGAGATTGGCCAGCGCAACTTCGGGGGTGATGGGCGACGACATTACGAATGGCAGGAACAGACCGAACAACAACGATGATTTTCCAGAAGAAGTGTCCTCCAGACTGCGATATGTAATGTAAGCTCTAGGAGGTGTACGGATGTTCTGACACGGCAGTCAGCCCATTTGCGCCGGCAATGCTGCCGACAGTACGCGGGCGCGATGAACCCCCCACATTCCGAAGGTTGCGACCCCTGCCCCCAGCTTCTCCGCGTGTCTCCAACTTTCGGACCGCGAGGGACGCGTACTTCCATCTCACGTCGCTCGGGGTAGTAATATTGTTGATTGATACCATAGACGTCGTCGCCCAACTTTGTCCCACCAAGTTCGCTATCGCTGTCAACATGTCTGTAACAACCACCGCCAACCCGATCCACTACAACCTCGAGGCCACCCTCGCAGACTACGATCTCCATCACAGCGGGGAACAGACTGAGGGACTCGACACAAGCCTTAATGCGCATCCCGCACCGAATTCGTCGTCAACGCAATCGCAGCAGAATCCTAGCGACTGGCCGACGGAACATCGCCGTGTGCCTGCGTACCGCCCGATCAACCACGAACTCGACCAGAGCGAGCGGAGAGTTTATTTGAACGGCATTGAACAAGCATTTGTCGGAGTCATGTTCACAGGCGTGTTCTTGGAATCGGTGAGTATTTTAGCTTGATTAGAAGGGCATGCATGCTGATAACCACGCAGACAATGTCCAAAGCGTGGCGGAATACTCTGGGACGATTCTGGAATGTCGGATACAAGATTGGTGGGGAGTGGTGAGGGACTTGGTGTACATAGACCAACATTTTTCCGGCGCTCGCAATGCTCAATTCTTTTCTACATCCATGATACTGCTGCAATCTGTCGTGAAACGTCAAAATCATATCTGCAGTGCTCTATGCTTCATTCCAGAGTATATCACCCAAAGCGCATGTCGATCTCGTTCAGGCGTCCCTCATGACATACGTGCAGCAACACCACATACGCGCATCCTCGGCTCAGTCAGCATGCGCCACCAACCACCACCCATATCGCATTTAGCCTGCGAACTGCGACGGCTCACTCCGCAGATAGTAATCACGTTCGGACTCCGACAGGTGCCTTCGCAGTGCCCTGCATCAGTCTACCACCAACCCACCCATACTAACCCGTATGCCCACCCACAGCGCCGGGAAGTGGAGGGCCCATCCCCATCTTGAACCGATCATCAAGGCAAACACGATTTGTGAACCGGCAGAAGTAGAGGGGATCTAGTTGGCAGAGCTATCTAGACAACTTTCTTCTGGGGCTTGAGACATACTCTTTGCTCTCTTCTCATACTGAGCTGTTGCAAACCTCAAGCATCTTGCAACGCTTCTCTCATACACACCCATCATGCACTTCACGAACGGTACCAACGGTACCAACGGGCACACACCCCCATCCACACAGCCCCTCAAGATAACAATATGCGGCGCTGGCATCGGCGGGCTCAGCGCAGCCATCTTCCTGCGTCAACGCGGGCACGCAGTAACCCTCCTCGAAGCCTCTCGTTTCGCCAACGAACTCGGTGCAGCCGTGCACCTCGCACCCAACGCTAACGGTCTCCTCCGCCGCATGGGCATGGTCCCAGAAGCCCAAGGCGCTGTAGCGTGTCGTCTGATGACGCAGATGCTGCCGAATGGCAAGGAACTCTTTACCGTGCCGCTCGAGCATGACGCAGCGCGGTGGCAGCATCCCTGGCAGCTTGGGCATCGCGTGAGTCTGCACAGTGAGTTGAAGAGGCTGGCTACGTGTGAGGAGGGGGAGGGGAAGCCGGCTGTTCTTAGATTGAGGGCGAAGGTTGTGGATGTTGATGCTAAGGCGGGTGTTGTTGTACTAGAAGATGGGGAGAAGATCCAGAGCGACGTTGTTGTTGGCGCAGATGGCGTTCATTCCAAGACTCGACCGCGTATCCCTGGTGCGGAGAACATCAAGACTTTTGGGAGTGGGAAGAGCGCGTTCCGTTTCCTGATTCCCAGGCAGCGGGCGTTGGATGATGAGACGACGCGCAAGTTTGCGGAGAAGGAGGGTCATCTCATTATGATCTTTGCGCGGGATCGGAGAGTGGTGGTGTACCCGACGTCGAACAACACGTTGTTGAACTTTGTTTGTATTCATCCGACGTCTGAGAGTCAGATTGATCCGGAAGAGCCAGGTAGCAGTGACTGGCAGAACCAGGGTAACTTGAACAAGATGTTGGATGTGTACAAGGACTTCGAGCCTGCGGTGCTCAAGTTGCTGGGTATGGCGGACGAGGAGACGTTGAAGGTGTGGGAGTTGCTGGACATGGACCAACTGCCGACCTGGACAGATGAGAAGCTGGTGCTTATCGGCGACGCTGCACATCCATTTACACCTCGTAAGCTCAGTCCTCGCTTCATCATCGTAACGAGAATCAAGCTGACCACAGCCCAGACCAAGGACAAGGCGCAGGCCAAGCCATCGAAGACGCCGCCTCCCTCGCCGTCATGCTCCCACTAGACACACCCCTCGACTCCATCCCTGCACGCCTCAAGCTCTACGAAAAATGCAGATACGAACGCGCCTCCACAATCCAAGAGTACTCTCGCGTAGCAGGCAAAGACCTCGGCAGCGGCCCACCAGTCGACCCCCACAAGTTCACAAACTACAACTTCGGCCACGACGAATGGGACTACTCCAGCCAAATGCTCCGCAAATGGGAGTGGGAGAACAAGAAAGGTCTGTTCTGGCGGATGCCTACTGCTTTTGGTCCCATGCCGGGCCCGAGGCAAGACTTCGCTGGACGGCCGAGAGATGGGTCGAAGGCTACGTTCAAGACTGCTAGTATCAAGTTCAAGACGAGCCGGACTGTGTTGGAAAACCTCTTGCCGACGGAGAAGTTGCAGTTTGCGGCTGCCGATACAGCTTGCTATGCGAGTTTCGCGGTGACGCAGCTAGACAATCTCGAGTGGCTTGGTGGTAGAGGATACAGTCATTTCGGGCTGTACATCCATGGCATCCAGCACACGAAAGCGGATGGCGAGACGGTGACGGGCACATACCTGCCTGTCCTCTTCGAGAACCTGGCTGATCCCATACTGAGTGGAAGGGAGGAACTAGGCTTCCCCAAGCTTTTCGCAGAGCTCGATGTGAAGAGTGACGGCGGCAAGTGGACGCTCGACGCAGGCTGGATGTCATCCAAGTTCTGCAGCATGTCACTGTCCGGGCTGCAGGAACATTCTGCAACGAACGGTGAAGCGCCAAGACTCTCTCCTCCTCTTCCGAAAGACGAGGGCCTCTTATTGCACAAGTATGTACCAGCTACTGGTAACATGGGTAGCAAGGAGCGCGGGCAGGCGGATGTGGAGTACACCGCTTTTCTGCCGGGTGAGGAGGATGCGAAGACGGTGGAGAAGAAGGTCGAGCGGACGTTGAAGGCGAGCTCGGCTGATATCTCTTTTGATGCTTTGGATTGGAAGGCGCTGCCAACGCTGCATCACATCGTCGAGAGACTTAAGGAGGTGCCTGTGTATGAAGTCATCGAGGCAAAGGTCGTCGAAGGTACCGGAGTAAGCGACGTAAGCTCGATCCGGAAGCTAGCATGAGCTATATCGTCTGTAGCTGTTATCAAATCTCATAGTTAGCATAATCCCACCAAGTACAACTCCAAAAGCGTCTTCCCACCTGCAATACTGTAATGCCTTTCATTCTTCATCTATCAAAAGGCCCCCAACTCCTACAAATGAGACAAGCGCTTGTCCTGAAGCTATAGATATAAATGGGGTATTACCAGGTTCTCCATCTATCAGTTGCCGCCGCCAAAAACACCTTACTGCCATGCCATATCAATGCAACAAATACAACATAGGAAAAAGAAGTGGTGATCAATGCATCTCATCCGAAGAGTTTGGAAACATCGAGTCTGTGCTGGTTTGTTGAGTCGGCTTCTTGGGCGCCGCCTTCACCGGAGTGCAGTCTGACCACTCAGACTCTGCCGGCGGTTCCGGCGCTGTGCTGGCGGAGGCAGGGTGCCAATAAGGGCGAATGTATGCGTCCTCGTCCGGGACATCCGCGCCTGTACTGGGTCAGTCGTGAGCCCTGCAAAAGACTCGCTGAGGTAGAACAGCCCAGAGAGACACGCAGGGAGGTTCTACGCACTCGCAACGCCCAGACCCTCACAAAGTCTCTTCCTCCATTGTCCACAGACGTCCTCAAACCCATCCAGCACGTTTGCACAAGCCCGTTTCGCCTCCCTCTCTTTGAGCCGTCGGTCCCAGTCCCCATGCTCAATGTATTCCTGTCCTTCTTGCGTCTTTTCGTTGTCGCGTTTCCAGTCCTGCAGTTGCTCTTTGCTGACTTTGAGCCGTCTGGCTGCATTCGCCGTAGTTTGCCGTGACATGTGTAGGGTATCGCTGACGTTTGAGAGGTGTTGGATGAGTTCGCGGCTGGAGTGGGTGAGGTGGGAAATGGCAACGAGCGGATCGGCGGAAGGGTGGGGTAGCAGCTCCAGTGTGGTCTGTATGATGGGGAGAAGTTCGTCGATGTCCTCTGGGTCGGGAAAGATGGCGAACGGGCCTGAGAAGGATACGGCGATGGACGTGAGGGTACGCGATTGGTGTGTCAGATGCGTTGTCAGAGCCTCATGGGCAGTCTTTAGTCTGGGGGTTGTTAGCGATATGACTGGACACGTCTGCGAATTGTAACATACCTCGTCGCTCCGTTCTCCATAGCAATCTGGCTGCCAAGATCTCGGAGTTGTTGTGTAACCCTCTTCACCACCTCGTCCGATGCGCTCCCATTCTCCTCCATGCCTCTCCGTGCCAGACTCTCGATAGCAGCCATCCGCGCGTCGAGCGCGGGCGAGATGCCCTCATTTTCCAGGTCAGAGTCGTCACCGTAGTCGGAGCCATCGTACAGCGACCGTTGCCTTGTGTGCTTTTTCGTCTTAACGGCCGACCCTGGACTGAGGCGCGCCGGAGACGAGTCCTGCATGGCAACCCCACTATCCCGTACACCGTTGAGGCTAGCTGCGCTGTCGACTCCATAAGAGCCGTCGTGTTCTACAGCCGTGCCGATGTTCTCGTCTTGTGCCTCGTCCAGTTCCTCGCCGTATTCGCCCTCCATGCCCTCGTCATCATCGTCGTACATCTCGCCGAGCTCGTCGGCCAAGTTGCCCAAGCCATTGCCGTCTCCTCCGCCGTCGAATTGGTGCGCGGGGCTGTGTTCGAATTCATGCGATGAGCGCGGCGTTATGGGCGAGTAGCCAGAGTTGCGGCGGGTGAAGGACTGCCGTCTCGATGCGGTGTTGTGTGACATGTCTAGGCTGGAGGGGTGTCGGCGGTGCGAAGATGCAGGCCGCTGGGTGGGAGTGCTGGGAGGGGACGACATGGCGTTGTCGTGGTATTGCGATAGTCGCCGGTGTTCCGAACACGTCGAAGGCTCGTGAAGTCGCGGAAATGAACAAAGGCGGACCGCATTAGGAGTCCCCAGTCGGAGATCTACGCGGGAGTGAACCGTGATCCAGGGCGCGCAATGCGCGTCAGCCTCGCAGCACCTGCACGACGCGGCTCTGCCCTAACAAGCCGCCAAAAGTCTATGTAATTGCGCTGGGATAGGAGGTCCTGTGGCGGGGTATCGGCGTGTTGACGGCCTCAGAGCTTCAGCGATGGTGCGGCCTTGGCTGTGGCTGCGGAGATGCGCCTCAGGTATCAAGTGCTATGATGCGTGATGATAAGTGGCTTGTGCCGCTTAGCGATAGAGCGCGTGCAGTGAAGGCGTGCAAAATGACAACGATGGAGCCTCGGTTGCCGTCCAGCCGTCCAGCCTGGTGTTTGTTGACGCTTGCCGGTTGTTTGGAATTAGTGGCTTGCGCGAAGGCTTGTGGACCCTTCTTTGCACGAGTGAAAGGGGTATGGGTATCCTGGTAGCAGGTGGCCTTGATACGATGACGGTCGTATTTCACTCATATACTAGTATGCAGCAGTTGTGTCTGATATAGTAACGACTGTGGATTCTTCATAGCTGATAGCACGTTTTGACTCAGACACATGTCAGACAATACGACCTTTTACATCCGAACGCTCTCCAATGCTGTGTAACCTGAACCCCAAACACTTTCAAGATGGGTATCGCGTGCGATCATCCTAAGCTGGGCCGAAACACGCTCACAAACTCCAAGACGCCTGAACATGACCTTACTCATGCCGCTATAGGTACTGCCATATAGCGCCCATGCAATTCAATGCCCACAGAACTCCTGTAATGCCCTCATAATGCCGCTGAAATAGATATCGGGTGTGTATGCGATTATTGCGCGGGTTTGGTCTGCTCGAGACTGGCGATCTGCTTCTTCAGCTGTGTGAAGAAGTCCTGGCCGGTCGGCATGAGGTGTGTCATGGTGCCTGATCTCTGTCAGTATGCCAGCCTCAGTGGCGGTTCGATGGCGCCTTACCTCCTTTGCCCCATGCGCCAGTGCTTCGGGTCGGGACAGAGTCACCGGGGACCTTGTGGTATACCGAGGGTTGGTCTGAATGCATGTTAGTCCTCTGGACATACGCACGGGTGATAGAGAGGTTCATACTAGCTGTGCTCTCAAGGTATTCTGCAATCGATTAGCTCATGCCCTATCGTGTACCAGCAATGCCATAGACGTACTCTTCTTGAGGAAGTCCCTGACCTCGTTCGCATTGAATTCCTTCACAGGTACGTGCTGGTCGGGCTGCGCTTGAGCTGGTGCAGCCGCGGGGCCTGATCCTTTCCCCTGTTTGGCTCCCCATACGTTCCCCGTGGGCGCTGGCATGGCCTGCTGCCGGCCTGCATTGTCCTTGGTGGGGGTGTTTGCGCCCGAGTTGGAGTTGCGGTTGGCTTGACCCTGCCGCCGCCAGCTGTACCAGTTGTCAGTATGCATGAGCTCCCACAGCTTCGCGTGCGCATTGTCTCAGACATACCGATTTTCTCCCGGGCCACTCATGTTCGGTATGGAGCAACGGTGGGATGTGAGGAGGGGTCGGGTCAAGATATAAAATGGTGGAAGCTCTCCAATCGCTCATGCAGCGCGCGAACTGCGTCTGTGCTGCAACGCCTAAACCAATGGGCGCCCGATGACATATTATAGCTGCGACCTCTTTCGGCCAGCTCACCAGTGCTAGCCGCTTTCAGGCCTATTTCAACACTATTCAAAGCCATTATCCAACGACTGGATGGCAATTTTTGAAGCTTTCTAATCCGCGCCGATGTGTTGTACATCACGTGTGCTGTCCTCCAATGGCAGGAGCCACCGGACGTGTCCAGCCTACGCTAGCTACAGGGTTCTCAAGGCCTCCATCCATGCATGAACCACGGCAACGGCTCCTAATGGACGAACATGTTCTTTGTTTCCCATCTTTGCTCACCGTCATTGATCATGGCCCGTCTCGGGATCGAGTCGGTCGGCTTGAGAAAGGAAGAGGCTGGTATGTTGTGTCATCAGCCCGAACATTCATCGCCGAGGGTAGCCCGTTCACGTTTGCAGAGCCTCAACGTAGGAAGTGACGAATGCCTCGACCTGGGACCTCCGACAGAAAAACCTCTGTTAGCGACAGTTCAGGACTATCTCTGTTTCCATACACTGGGAAAGACTGATATCCTCGGATTGTACAAGTGAAATCGCGACCGGATCAGTGGCCTTGGTAGACGCCATGAAGACATCCACCAGGGCATTTTTTCTCCACATTATCGGCAAGCGCGAATCTCATTATGACTTAACTGTCGAGCTCCTCGGATGACTGGCATGAAGTTCCACAGGTTGTGGAGTTGTCTCTAAGCTACTTCGATCACACTATATTCTTCATGCTGATGCGAAACGTTCATTGATATTCGCCATCGTGCGAGGGGACTATCACCTCTGAGACTCATGTTTTGAATCGCATCTTTTGACATGTGCTGGTAAGAGACACATAGACGATAGCGGAGTGTCAGCCTCTTCCATATCCATATATAAAACTCCGCTTGCTAACTTCTTGGCTCTTTCTTTACAACTCGCTCGCCCCATTGGCTATCCTGGCGATCATCAGCTTTATTTGACTTGGTCACCTTCCAGCGCTCAGGTTGCCTCCCTCCTACAAGAGTAAGGCATCGAACATGCGAGCCTTCCTTGTCAAGTCTGCGGGCCTTGCGCTCTATCTTCACGACCTACAATCAGGAAAGCTTACATTGGTCCATGAGCGACCAAACAAAGAGCCGAAGGTACATGTTTTAGACGACGAAGATTTCGATGACGGCGCAGATGATGTCGATTTCGGGTTTGTTCAAAAGCCGGGATTCGGTCTTGAAGCCAGCGCAGTAGGGCTGAGTCTACGCTTGATCAAGAACGACGGAGTGCTGAAGACGACTTATCAAGGTAGGAGCGGTGGAGTCGTGGACTGGACATTCAGAGGCTTAGACGATGGAAGGATGGTGGCATCTGCCTCTACGCAGACAGAACCCGAAATCCCATCAGACCATGGAGGCATGGAGATCCTGCTACCGAAACTGTCCATCAGTATGTTTCAGACGACGATAACTAATCCCACACCGGAACGTATGGAGACTCCGCTACCAAGACTATTCATCAGTCCGATTCAGACAATCACAACCACTCCCACGCCGGAACGCATTGTTCAGCCTCCACTTTCAGGACTCAGCATCATCTCGACTATGGAGACTCGCCCCATTAGAGTCCCTGTCAATCGCCGAAAAGAAGTTCCAGCATCCCACGCAACCAAGATAAAAAAGAGCGACTCCAAGCACCGCCTGATCCAAGTTTCACCCCAGCCTATCAGTCGCAAGCTCGCAAGAGACTCTACATCTTGGCCAAATCACCTGTTCATGGCGTGTTGTCGCACACAACCCATTCACAACGGCGAGGTCGGAGTACTACACATCGATCTTACCGAAGGCACAGTATGGTTTGAAGGTTGGTCTGGCAGGGCGCATATCAACCAACGAACTTACATAAGGAAGGAAGTCGATCTTCGAAATGCCTCAAGTGAGTCTATACCAATCAGTCACTGGCATTCAAGCTCTTGACACACAATCTCAAGTACGATCTGGATGCTAACTCATGGTACTAGCAAGCGTGCACTACGTTCGCTATGGCAGTTGGCTTGGAAGAGATTACTCCACCCACTCACTAAAACTCTCAAGAGTCAACACAAACCAAAAGAGAATTGTTTTCTTCTCAGCAGATTGCTCGGCGCCCGGATATCAGACATGGGGCTCAGACACATACCAGAGCCTGGACCCCATCCCGCACTACAGTTCATTGACATGGGATAGATCCAGGGGAGCAGACAGCTCAATAACCATTCCGGACCTACCAGCTGAGACGACCATGCGCTTTTCGTCGCCTCACGTCATCATCCGTGCACTCCGCGACTGCATCAATCGCGCATCTCCGTGCCCAGAAGTCAGGAAGCCGATTGCCGAGCCTGATCTACTCGAAGTTATCGAGCAGGGATTCCGATATCAGAGCGTGGGGTCTCTGAACACAGCAGGTATGGTGGAGTGGATAGCTGCCATTCAAGAGATGAAGAAGAGGGAGGCGTTGAAGAAGAAAGCAAAGCTGGCGAAGGAAGAGAGCGGAAATATGTCTCTCAAGAGAGGACTGGGTGTCGTAGAAGAGGAGAGGGAAGACAAGAAAGTCAAGGTTGAGAGTGGCGTAGCAGATCAGGTCAAGCTGGACAGTACGTGGCCGGAAGAGATCTGAAGAGTCGTTGCTGGGCTACATCGCGATTCAGTTCGTTCAAAAGCGATTGGTTTTCTGCTGCCGCGAGTATGGGGAAGAAGTCGAACGGAAAGATCAGTAGTCAGAATACTATGAGCCTTTGGAAATCGTGCATTTGGTGTTTGTTCGACCTAAGCTCACCAGCAACTGAACAACTGTGTGCCTTTTTTGAACAGGCTATTTGTCTCAAGAAAGTACGTTGGAAAAGCAACGGGCTCTATTCATCTTCATCTCTACTGGCTTTACGTTGAGCACTAGACATCGAGGCATTTAGCACATACAATCCCAATGACACTCACAGCAAGATACATTGTCGTATAAGAGAACAAGAAGCGCTGCTCGTGCATAAATCAAATACTCATTGGTATACATGAACCCGCACTTCCTTGCGCATAAACCCAAAATCCCAACTCGAACCAAACCCAATTGCACTTGCCTTCCATGGATATATCTACGCCGGCGCCGCAGCCCCCTCGCCATTCTCCCCACCATTACCACCCCCACCCGTAAGACTAAACATAAACTCCTGCCATCTAAACACCTCCGTCCTATTGCCCAAACTCTTCCCTCCCTTAGCGAAAGCCCTCCGCCCGCTAAACCCCTCAATAGCCATATCAATCTCCCGCTCCGTCAACTTCCTTTCCCCAGCCTCAGGCGCCGTATGCAATAAAGCATCCTTCAACTCCGCCAAATCAATCTGCCCGTCGTCATTGTCATCGAAGGCCTCGAACGCGGCGGTCAGTTCGTTCTGGTGGGAGAGGTTGCCGAGGAGGTCGGATAGCGTGGTCAGGTAGGTCGCTAGGTTGATGGATTGTGCGCCGTTGAAGTAGGTGGAGAGTTGGGAGGGGGTGGCCGAGAGACCGAGTTGGGAGAGCATGTCTGCGACGTCGGCGGAGTTGACGTGACCGTCGTCGTCGCGGTCCATGACGCTGAAGGACTCGCGCATGCTGTGGAGGAGGGGTGGGGGCAGTTTGGAGAGGGCGTCGCTGGAGGCCATGCGTTGCATGGGTGCTGGTCGTGCTTTGCGCTCTGTTGGCTTGTAGGTCTCGACAGGTTTGTAGGTTTCGACTGGCTTGAAGGTTTCGACTGGCTTGTATGTCTCGACCGGCTTGTAGGGCTCAGCCGGCTTCTGCTCCTCAACCGGAGTATGAATCTCGGCTGGCTTGAGGCTCTCAATTGGCTCGATATTCTCGACAGGTGGTGACTTTTTTCTGCTAAACAGAGGCGGTGGTGCGTCGTCCCTCCCAGCGGCCTCAAACTTGGCTGCGATGGATGATGTACTTAGAGGGCGCACCGTCATCTGCGAAGACGAGGAAACATTCCGCGTTGGCGAGACATTGCGTCCAGGCGAGAGATTTCGAGAAGGCGAATTGGGCGCTTCTGGGGTGCCCGTCGTCCCCCGTGTGTTCAGCCAGGATGGCGGGTTCTGCGATGGGTTGCCCCCAATGGACAGACGGTTGGGGGTTTGCGCAGGGGATGTCGGAGTCTCTTTAGGCTTTAGAGGCGAACTATTCGGCGTCGATGGTCGCAAGGTAGACGGTGAGCTCTCCCTGATGGAGCCTGGTCTGCGGAAGGGCGACTGGCGCGGACTGTTGAAGGAGAGGGGCGAGGGCTTGTAGGGCGTTGGTGTTGTAGACTGCATATCTTGATTAGTCTTGTCCGCATAATTCCCAAGGGTCCAGCATACCATGGTGCGTATATTCGTTTTGGTGATGTCGCTGGTCGTCGCGTTGTTTGGTGTTGTCAATGGGATGGCCTAGCAACGAGCCTATCGATAAGCTGACATGGGTCAATGGCGTGGGCATGCAGGGTTCGTTCACTCTCTGCGGGCAGCATAGCGGGTCACACGCATAGTCACAGCTCCGGATACTATGCGGTAGCCATTCACGCTCCCAGACCCACGGCCTGCTGGATCAATCCCCCATCACCGCCAGCTACAGCGCGTCATGTTGTTTCGGAACGGTTACATTAGGCTCCCCTAGCGCCGTCGATCTATAATGTAGCATCCGAGTCGCCAGGTGCCCGTACAGAAGAAGATGGAGACACTCATGGCTGAAGTAATCGCACAGCGGCCAAGCGGGCCCAATGCCGCTCAGCCTGTTTCCCTGCAGCGCCAGCCCTCTTTCTCCTCGTTCCCTCCCTCGCGATCGCCCTCTACCCGCAATGGCCACCACCCGAAAGCTCGCTCCCCGCAACCCCCCATGCTCCGCGAGGGCGACGAAGACGAGTCGATCCAGTCCTCGCACGACGAGTCATATCAGTCCTCCATGGCCGCCATTCCCAGAGGCACCGCCAAGTTGCGCTCGCAGTATCCCGCCGATGCAGTCGAGAACCATGTCGAATACATCCTGGTCGCCTCGTTCGACATTGACCGCGGCTCCATCATGGAGCACCAGTACCCGGCGGCTATCAGTGGAGACGAGACTATGCTAGCAGAGCTCATGTTGCCCGATCAGGCCCACGTGCGCAGTCAAGACTGGACCATCTTCTTCCTGCACAAGGACACCACAGCCGAAGAGGAGGAGCGCGAGGCACGGAGAGAGCGCAGGAGGCGGAGACGGCGGCGGAAAGAGGGCCTGGAAGATGACGGCGACGACGATGCGACTGCCGGCACGGAAGAGCAAGACGACGAATACGATGACGGAGACGACGACACAGAAAGCGAAGGGGAGCCAGACCCTGACGGGCCACCATTGGTCTATGTCTTGAACCTGGTCAACACCAAGCAGGACAATACGGTGAAGAGGTAGGAAGAACGTTTCCATGAACTTGGCAAGACTAACACTACGCAGAGGTGCCATCGTCAAAGCCATGGCCATATGCACGCGCCATCCCTTCCTGCACATATACAAGCCCCTGTTACTGCTGGCACTTGAAGAATACTTCAGAGCACCTGTCCTGGAGACGCTCGAATCTCTGTACAACGCCCTCAATGCCATGGACCTCTCACTTCTCCCGAGGCTCTCACCCCTGGAGAACTTCGTGCTTGGCGCTAGCGATGCTAAAGACATGTTCGTGGAGAAGTTTGAGCTCATGGTCCGGCAGCGGAAGAAGCTCGATGCTGCGAGAGACTCTGTCGAAACATCTTCAGATCCTCAATCGCGCAAGAAGACATACACTGTCCCGCGCGACACGCACGAGTTCGAGTCCAAGATCAACTATAACGGCATACCCGTTCCTGTCAAGATACCCACCGCTTTGAGTCCAGAGACTGTGGGCGACTTCTCCTTGATCAAGCTCATCCAAACCTTCTCCGCGCCCCACGCGGCGCAACCGCAGCCCTTCGCTTTACACCCACATCTGACCACGAGCGGCGCATTCACTCATCCCATCATCGTCCTCGTCAACGCCCTCCTCACACAGAAGCGCATCATCTTCATCGGACATAATCGCCCTTCAGGCGAAGTCGCTGAAGCTGTACTAGCAGCATGTGCTCTGGCCTCGGGCGGCATTCTCCGCGGCTTCGTTCGCCATGCGTTCCCATATACCGATCTTACCAAAGTAGATGACCTGCTGAAGGTACCTGGCTTTATTGCTGGCGTCACCAACCCAGCGTTCTCCTACAAGCCCGAGTGGTGGGATCTGCTTTGCGATCTGCCGACCGGTCGCATGAAGATCAGCAATCGCATTGAAACGGCGTCACCCACAGAGGGCTCCATGTTCTTCCAGCAACAGGGGCTACCATTGAATGGGCCAGGTGCACCACCAGCCTTTGACGGCAAGGGCGGCGGTGTCGATCCGACCGGCGACACCCAATTTATGGACAGACTTCTCGAGAGCATTGCCAACCGTCACGGCGAGAATGCTATACGAGCTAAGTGGCGTTCGTGGGTGCTCAAGTTCACCCGCATCGCGGCCGCTTTCGAAGAGACGGTCTATGGCGCTTCGGCATTGTACATTGGCTCCCACGAGACCGATGTTGGCGCATATGGTGTCTCTGGCCATGGCTACGTCTGGCCAGACGAGAACCATAAGCTACGCGAGCTCGCTGCAAACGTACACCGTATCGAGGGCTGGCGCAACACAAGGAGTTATTACAGCTGCGTTCAAGATCTAGCGAGACATTGGAAAAAGAGACCAGTGCGCGGTCTTGATATTGGCCACCAGCACGACAAGTTACGATGCTTGAAACTTACGCACGATCAATCTGCGGGCATTTATCTTGCACTTGCGCGGTGTGTTGAAGAAGCGGGTTCACCACCTAGTGAGAGTGCGAATGCTTCTTCGAGTGATTTGTCGTCCATGGCCCAGTCACTTTCCATCGCGAATGACTCTGAGCGCAAGGCGAATTCGCAGCTCCAGTACGACACCATCCTGCAGCTGCTCTGTGTGATCCCAGATGCTGGTCTCTTCTATCTTAGTCTAGGCTTGTTTCATCCTCGACAGGATGTCAGGATGGCGGTCGTGAGATTACTAGAGAGGATCATGGACCACTCTGCTGGTCGGCACTACTGGGGTCAATTAGGACGTTTCGCCAAACTGGCCTTCTTCAGAGTGAAAAGGGAAGAAGCGCAGAAGTAGTTGCGATACGATAAGGCGTTGAAGGTGTTGGATGGAATTGCCGGTACAATACGTGTCATGGAGTTTGTAAATGCTGTAACGTAGATATCTGAATGAAGAAAATGAAGTACACATGGAGTGCCTAGCTACCCTCATGCAAACTAGTCGCCATGCAGCAAAGTCACGTCTGTCCCCGGGCACGCTACGAACCGTTGGATGCGCGCGCATCCCTGCATCGCATCTCATCTCCGCCTAAATCATACTCGCCCAAAATTTCCCGCTTCACCCCTCGAAATGCGCCCGCCCTAGTCGCCGTGTCGCAACGCCCATTTCGCCCTCCCTACATCCTCAGACACGTTGCGCATGCTGTCTGCACGCCAATTGAACAGCGACAATGGCATCACCACCACCAAGCGAAGCCCCAGCGGTTAAGAAACGCGGACGCCCGAAGAAAGTCGTAGCCGAGGATGCGGGGGCAATACCAGCGGTCGAAGCGAGCAAGGCGGCCGTGAAGAAGGTCGCTGCGAAGCCTGCTGGAAAGGCGAAACCCGTGGAAGTCAAGAAAGAGAAGAAGACGGTTGCGAAAAGCGCAAAGACGGTTGCTCCTCCTGCAACTCCTGCCGCGAAGAAAGATGCGCCTCAGTCGCCAATTGCGGCCGAACAACCCACGCCCGTCACGCCCTCCACAAGCAAGATATTAGAGGAGGTACAAGCGAAAGGGACGTTCAAGAAGGCACAGTCTGCTGCGAAGGTCGTGGAGAAGGTAGCGTCGAGTACGGACAAGAAGACTGCGGCGCCACAGCCCCAGACCCAAGAACCTACAACAAAACCAGCGTCCCCGCCGTCGAAACCAGCAGTATCAGCATCCACGAAGCCTCCTCCTCTAAAACCGACTACAGCCCCCACCACTCCACGCCCAACAACAATCCCCCTCCCCTCACACCCCACAAAAGCACCCTCACCCATCTCCCCATCACCTCCTCCAAACCCATACCCACGCTTCTCCAAACCCACAACCTCCACCCGCCACATACCGCCAAACCCCTATCCAACAAGCATCCGTCCCTCAAACCAACAAGCGCCTCCATCTCCACCGCACCGCCAACACCCCACGCGCCTCATCGAGCCCACGCCCGACATCAGACTACCGCCTAAATACAAGCCCGCGTCGCGCCGGGTGACGGCGATAATGGTGAGCCTGCCGATTGTGTTGGTGTTTGGGTATGAGTTGTTTGAGCGGTGGAGGGGGAAGGAGGTTAAGCAGGTTTTTAGGGAGACGGACGGGTCAACGAATGAATGAATGAATGATTTGAGGGGTTGGTAATGAACGGGTGAGAGATGGAGGTAATGATGATGACGACGAGTAATGTTGGATTGATTGTGTATTTATATCATCATCTATATGGTCTGGTCTCTGCTACTTCTTATGTATGTTTATAGAGATACGGTACACGGAAGGGGTATCACTACTCTTGTGTGCTGTTGCTGTTGGTATTCCAGTCTACTCTCTCGAATCGTGTGGCGACCTATCTTGGTTCGCCTTGCATGCTGGTTAAACAAAAGAAAAGGTGTGTGAAGATGGTAAAAGGGTGAACAGAATGTGAAAGACTATGTATAAGAATGGTAGTCGCGAAAAAGACATCAAGCTCAACTATCCACGCTACATGTAACTCTTCTTCCTCAGCAGCATGCCTCTAGTCCCTGAGGGATCGATTGGCAGACCCGATGCACTACCGCGCCGGCTACCAGGTCTGCTGGCAGACGGGGAACGTGTTGTTTTGATGGGCTCTACATCCAGTATCGGTGGGCCTACACTGACATCGGGCGTAGCGGGCCCTGGAGGATGAAATAGGCGCTTGTATCGCAGTTCTGGTGAGCTTGGTACGTTTGGATTGGAGGAGGATCTTGCGGCCGAGGTCATGGTGAGATTGAACAGCGTGTTGGTACGACGACTGAGCGGACTTTGAGTTGGCTGTGGCGTGGGCTGTGGGGCGGCTTGCATCGTAGCTTGAGGAGTTGAAGGCCAGAGGGTGGGACCGGTGAACGTGGGTGATGTAGAAGGCGAGGGTGAAGAGAGCCTGTCTGTAGTGTCTGACTCGGGATCGGCAAAGTAGTCGTGGTCAGACGTGTCGTTCGTGGACGACATGGGATCGAGTTGGATGGTCTCGGTCCACTGGCGCCTTGCATTGTTTGCGCCTTGAGCTTGCTTCGCAACGGAAAGCGGTTGTGAGGACGCTCTCAAGGCTGCACGAGACAAGAGAGGACTGGTGGGTGCAGACTTCCGCAGCACAGGGCTGGGGGGCTCCGTCCTGAGCTCGAAGCGCGTCATCTTATGCGTCGATTTCGCTCGCTTTCTTTGAGCGAGATCGTTATCCTGAGAGCTGGTCCGCCTGATATTGACGTCTTGCTGTGGTGTAAAGACGAGCCGTCCCTTGAGCTTCTGGATCGTGTCGTCCAACGCGAGCTCAATGGCGACATGGTTTTGTATCCGCGAGAGCTTTGGCCATGTAGCTCGCTGTCCAGTCAGCATGCATCCGACCATGAACTCGGGCGTGGGGTTGCTCAAGACTCTAGGGAAGTCCGCGTAGTTGATCTTGGGGAAGATGTTGATGTCGCCTGAGTATCGCTGGCTGAGCACCGAACGTCCTTTTGTGACAAGGTTTGGGAGGAACCCAGTATCCGCTAGCTGCTGGAGGCGGTGCATTACTTCGCCCTTGCAAAGACTAGCTGAGAGACTCATCCAACCGGGACCAGTGACGGCGTCTTGGGCTTCTGCAGCGACAATCTCCTCCTCTTTCGCCAGAAAGGGAACAACGTGCGGGTTGACCTGCGAGACAATGAAGTGATTCACGTTGAACATCTCGGCCAACCGGGTCATCGGTAGGTCGTTGTCTACTGAGCCATCGATCCATGTCGCGTCAGGGTTTGGATCCCAAGGTACTTCCAGGCCGGTCTTCGGGTCCTTGGCCAGCAGAGATGCCTTCTTGTAGACGAGCGGAACTGAGCAAGAGGTACATCTGCGTAGCGTTAGCATAGCTATAATGGTTCCTTGGTTTCGTGAACTTACACTGCAGACCAGATCATCACATTCGGCGCTGTGATGTAATTCAAAAGTCTGGGCAGTTCGTAGAGCGACGAAGTCGAAACAGGAATGTTCAAGATACGTCGAGTCCGGTTGTATGCTTCTTGAAAGGTCAAATCGCCGAGCAGATCACGCATAACTCTCATGAGATGTGCAATGTCAAAAAGAGCTCCAGACTTCATCAAGCGCATTGCTTTGTTGATCATGCCTTCTGGGTTATGCGGGCTTTCAAATACGTTCAGATCTCCAAAGCAAAATTGGTGCATAACCTCCGGGATCTCTGCATCGGTCTTTGCGCATAGGACCGCACTGACGATGCTTCCTGCAGAGGCTCCCGATATGATGCGTGGAAGAAGACGAGCGTCCCAAAGACCCTTGACGACGCCGATGTGGTTCATGCCAAAGGTTCCTCCGCCTGAGAGTAACAATGCGCTCCTACCGAATGATTGGCGTGTTTGAAGCAATTGGTCGACCAACCGCCGCGGCTCGATAGGACACTGATCTCCCTGCTTCTCCGAGACGTCCAGCAGAGCGGCCATGGTTTGCTGAGCCGACTCGATGTACCTCTCGATCAGACGCTTGGTTCCAATATGCGAGTGCTTGTACAGGCGCAGGTCGCCCATGTCGCCCAATCCGCGTGTGAGGGTGGTCCTGATCAGGAACAGCATCCTCTTCACGTCGCAGCTCATGCGAGCATCATCCAGCTCTTTCAGCCGGGCAGCAACCAGATCCACATTGTATTCCGGAGTGTCGTCCTCTTCTTTCCAGGCTTCGTTTCCTTCTAGGATATCGAGCTCGGTCGCGGCGGCTTTCCATTGGTCGTATGTCTCGGCCTGCGTGGCGATCTCGTCAGCATGTGAAAGGGCACGACCAATCTGAGGAACCCACGTCTTTCATGTGCAGGTACAGGACCTGCCTACGATTTGCTTCCGCAGCATCCACGGCTAATTCAGGAACATGGTAGTCGCCCACTGGGTCGCCCAGAGTCCCCAACGGATTCCTGGCCAGCTGCACCAGGGGTCCGAGGAAGCCGCCATGGCTTTTGCTCTTCCTTATGGATTTCTGCCCATGTTGTCCTCCTCTTACGTGCAGTCGCGTACTGCCGCCTGTAAAAATGGTGTCAGACAGCAATGACATCGAGCGCCGGTACACGCCATGCGCGAATCCTACGAAGCGTGGCTTAGCCGGTGGTAAGAGGATCGGTAGATCGAGTGGTCGTGAAGGCAGCTTGCGGTGGTGTCGAAGTAAGGAAGTCGGTTTCCAGGGAGTCTGTCGCGGTCGAGGGAGTCTGTAGCCTAGTAATAGTGCTTTTCGAGAAGACGCGGTGTAGGGTGGCCGGAGATGGTCAACTGCGGGTGGTCATGCGCCTCGGTCGCGCAAGTCGCGGAAGGTGCGTCACAGGCTTGCCGCTTCAATACTTGTGCAATGTTGTCGCCGGACGACGAAACGAGCGCGAGAAGGGTCGGCATTGACGCCTTTGAAGTATTCGATGCGTGCAGCGCATGCTAGGGAGCGTGGGGACATGCGCATGGTACATCGTCATCGGCAAGGATCAACTAAACAAAGCCGGCGAGGGTGTCGCGTCGGCAGTAGTCATCAACCGACGCTGATACGACACGCATCTTCCACCTGTACCTGCAGGTCCAGTGTTGGCAGACTACTGCACATGCAGCCATGGATCATGTGTCTTACGTGTAGCTGGTAGCAAAGGCCGAGAGTCCTCTGACCACCTGTTGCTGTGCTCGACTCCCAAGAGCCCTTAGTTGTGAACTGTGGGCACGCAGCATTAGTTTAGAAAGGCCGTGTAGCGCCGCGAATAGTTGCTCGTCCGAAATCGCGATCCCGCGCTGCACACGGCAGATCTGGAGAAAGCTGCAGACGTGGGGCAGCCATCCCTACCTGTTTTGACCGCCATCTTCGATCTTGTGAGTCCACGAGG